GCCTAATTTTTGGTTGCTACAGCTAGAATACAATGTATAAGGCTTGTTTGCCACTCATAATGATTACCAAATGTTGACCATTTTAGTTTTGCATGAAGTATCACTTACCTTTCTTTTTTTTCTGCCCTGACCCTTGTGTTTTCCTTCTATTGAGCTCATCAGGTTACTTCGGCATGGGAAAACAAGCCAGCAAAGCAAGAAAAAGAAGATGTGATATTATTAAAGGTTGTCCCTCCTTTGGACCGGGCATACATAAGATGGCTTGCTAGAGATGTCGCGAGAATTCATGGCTTTACTCCTAAAGGTATTCGTGCTGTGAAGCCTCCAGATCATTATATTGAATACATGCAGTTGAATGGATGGTTGGATGTGAGTTTGGATGATCCTGATCTTGCCCATTTATTCAGGTAGACTGTTTCCTTGTTGGCTAAATGATAAAAACACCAAAAGGGAAAACAAAGACAGCGAAGTTGTGTCATGTAGACTACCCAGGAATTAATGCTTCATTAAGATTTCCTACACTGTATAGCAGCTAGTCAAGTAGCAAAAGAGTAACTGTTTTATGCTGCATGAATGTATTTATTCTATGTGTCTCTGTTAGAACAACTTGTTTTCACTGCAATAATATGCTTGAACTAGTTCCCTCTATAAATGGCCTTGAAATATACCATAGTTTCTTTTTTTCTTTTTGATAACAAACTGAAAGCAATTAGCACCAAAAGGCTACAAGCAGTTAACAAAACCGGAGGGTAGGATCCCTCATCATGCACCAAATCTTGTAACAAGTTTGGTGGATGATCAAAAATACACAAAATATCCTCAAAGTTATGAGAATTCTTAGCTAGGTAATCAGCAATACATTTTCTTCATGATCCATATGATGAATTTCCAGAGTCCCTTCTCTATGCATCAGTGATTGAGCATCCGCAATGACATTTCTAAAAGGGTGTTCATTGCTACAATCTCGAGAGAGAAGGTTCACAGCTTCAATAGAATCAGTGCAGATATTAATAAGTCACATCAAATTGTTTAAATAAGTCCTCATACTGGTGTTCCAAGTTGGTTTATCAATTCATAGGTGGCCAATTAACTCCAATTAACTCCTTTAATAAATCATTATAATGGGGTTAATTAGAAGAACATAGTTACATTGTTCACTACAGACACTTTATCTTGATGCTTTCAATGTTTTGGGTTGTACTACTTTCAAGAAATATACTATGCTTCCCAGAATGTGACGTTCTTCACCTGTGGTAATGCCCTTAACTTACTTGGTTTAAGGTTTTCATAAGTTATTCATAAATTTAATTTAGAGATCAGTATGCCAAATACTTTATCTTATACATCCATAAAGATCTAAAAACTTAGTGAAATTTGAATCTTGAAACTACAGTACATGGCTCAGGAGCTAGAGATGAGAAAGAGAGAGCACTCTCTCACTTTGATAAAAAAATTAGGGAAAATTAATCTTCTAATACTCCTTTTGACTCACTTAAAATTCAGTCTCTCAAGTATGACTCTGTGCAACTCTGTCCCTATATTTTGACTCATTTAAACTCAGCTCCTAATCTTTCCATCATTTATAAATTTATCCTTGTCATCCATAACTCATGTTGAGTCATCACTAAGTTATTCTACAGGGAAAAAATGAATTACAAACATCATTAAAAGTTGGTTTTGCGGCTCCAACTTAGTTCGATTTGAATTTTGAAATTAAAAAAAAAAAAAGTCAACCGTCTTTGCTAAAAAATGCTTTAGCTTATTCACCAACTAATTCAACTTTCCATTGAACTCCAGAGCCACGTTCTTAGGTTCCTCCTCTGCTTCACACATCCATGCTTGTCTAGAATGTTGATGGTGTTCAGTTAAGTATTAATTATTTTTCTTTATCTTTTCCTTAAAAGTGGCATCGTCAAAGCCAATACTTGCAGAAAACAAACACCAACAAAAAATAATTCCTCTGCTTTGTTCCTTGTGTGTTTGCTTCCATTGCTAAAGTTGCCAAAGAATTCCTTGAAACACATGAAATTCCTTTCTCCTCTGCTTGACCAGCTGGACAGTTTCTATCCGGTACTCATCAGTTGCTGCTAAGGCGGTGGATGTTGGGGCAGAGGCCACGGTGCTTTTGATTTTCGAGTACATTATGTCTGGAATTATCGAGTCAAACGAGTTCACAAATATTGAGATGATATTTCATGGTAATTAGAATTTACCATGTAAGTAGTTTAGTAAAAATAATTTTATAAAAGAAGTTAATAAAAAAATTTACAAGGTTAGGTGAGATTAAAGAAATGTATTTAAAATAATGAATTTAAATTGATATATAATTGGTTGAGATTGAATGTTGGGCTCATCTTGTGGTAATGGTTGGGCTTTTATTGTCTTTAGCTCAATGGATGGTAAAACTTTTAAGATTCCAGATTTTATTAGACGATAGGTTCTTGATAAAATTTTATATTATGTGTATAATATATGAAAATAGATAGATTAAAGATAATATGAGAGCAGGACGACACATGAAGAACGAACCAAGAGAATTTTAAATCAATGTTTTAAAAAACTGAACTGAAAAAAGTTAGTGGGTTTTAGTTGTAATTTAATTAAATTAATTGACTGCGACGGTTGTGATGTAATAATTAAATAAAAATAATATAAAATGCATATATAAAATACAATATGTTTTGTTATTAAAGAAATAGCATGTGACCATAAATCAACAATATTATAAATTATAATTTTATAATTTATAAGCATAGGTGGTTCTTGGTTAAATTAAATATAAATAGACTTAAAAGTATTTGCATTTGCACAAAAATGAAGTTAGGGGTTTAATTTTTGAATTTTTTCCCTTTTTTTAAGAAGAATTTAAGCTATTTTTTTATATTATGTTTAGAATCATCTGATTTTTTAAAAAACCATTTTAATTTTCAGCTCAACTCTAATTCAATCCAATTTAATCATGAAAAATAACGTTTTTGGTTCAAACCAAACTATTAACGACTCTAGTCATCCAACTAGTCCGACCATTCATTTGGTCTGGTTTTTAAAGTAATGATTTAAATAATAATTACTTCTCATTCCAATATATAGACAACTTTACAACATTTCACATAATATGGAGCTCTTCATCACCTGCGGCAATCAATGCCGTTGACTTCGGTCAACAGAGTATATATTTGAAACTTGAGTTCGAGAGGTTTTATTCAAAAATTTATAGCTATAGATCACTAGTGGTATACAAACACAATTATCTTTCTTCTGAACATCCGCAATAATGATCCAAACAGATGATGAAACTTATCTTGGAACTTTATCACAATATTCCAAGTCAAAATTAGAGATACTTTTGCAGGAAAAAGTTCAGAATTAGAAGCAACGAGCTACCTCAGATCTACCTCAGATCCATGTTGATCTATTCAGGAAATGAGACGTCGGTTAAATCCTCTCTGTAAGGAGCGTGACTCAGTTCCAATTGGCCATTATTAGGATTCATGAATCCTTTTTCCATGTGGGTTTGTACTGTGGGGTCGTTCTTGGTCTCAATGTATGTCTTCACGGTGTCTTTTCTTAGGGTTAGGTATATTACAGCTGCGATGTAAATTGCCATCAAAGGGAACACTATGATCCCAATGAACACATTTGCCACCTTTGGTAGACTGTTATGAATCAGCCAACCCACAAATCCTGTACTTAGGTAATACACATTGATCCCAATGATCCCTGCCCCAAGAATCCATGATATTATGATGATCTGCACGTAGTTAATTATAATTTTGTCACTTCTTTTTACATTTTGATATACACAATAGGAATTGGCTTTCCTCTACTGACTTCCTCCTCCACTACCCCTTCTCTTCAAATCTAGATGGTTTAGAGTTAAAGTCTTTAATTTTTATTATTTATTTATATTTATTAAAATAAAAATTATAAATTTTTGTTGGATCATCAATTTTTACAGTCTAGATTTAATATAGATGGTTAGTGTTAATTGTTTAAATTTTTATAAATTGAATGTAGATTGAATAGTGCAGATTTAATATTAATTTTTATAATTAAAAAAATATTTTAATCATACAATATTGAAAATTAAGATAATCTCCTAACATGAACTTTCCAAAAAAAATATTTTTAAAGAAACTACAAGTTAAAAATTTTAAGTTTGAAGTGTTCAAAGTAAATTGTATAGTTAATTTATAAAAATTATAAAATATTTTAATATTAAATTTAAACAATCATTAAATCTAAATTTAGCTTGATCACAAATTTATTAAATTTTTAATTTTGTAAATTTTTATTTTACTAAATATAAAATAAAAATTTAAATTTAGACCTTCCAAATTTGCCGGGGCTGGAGGGGAAGTTAGAGTAGAAAAACCGAGTCCTACACAATGGATCACAAAGATGAAAGAGAGATATAGAGAAGAACATATAGCTCACAATTATAGAATTCTTGTGAGGGACCCATCTTGGTGCTGCTGCTGCTAAACTTGAGAAGTGGGATCAAAGCGAATGGAAGCTCAAATGAAAGTATCATCTGCAAAATCACCTCTATTATATATTTTACCATCCTCACAAATTAACATAATCAGCAAAAAAAAAAAAATGGTGAAAAGGAATGTAATATAATGTAATGATGAAGTTTGAAATTACAAACCGAGGCAATGACAATGAGTCGTCCTGCCCCTGAGGATCCACCAATGAGAGACACAATAAGACTTGGTGTGATGGCAATAGTCCGAGTCACCAAGTTCCTAATCCATTTTTTCATCTTCAGATCCAAGAAACCCTGTGGAACCAAACAAGGCAGTTAATTTCAGAAAGCAATACTTTATTATAATAGGAATGGGTAATAATAATAATAATAATAATAATAATAATAATAATGGGGATAATGTAAGTTTTCATCCCTTGAAGTTGTCCCTGTTATCAATTTAACATTTGAAGTTTAATTTTTTATCAATTTAATTCCTTAATTTTATTTTAATTATTGATTTGATCTTTATTATTTAAAAATAGGTTACATTGTTAAATTTTCTGACATGAATAATAAAAATATTGATAGCAACCATTTAGATTAATAAAAATGAGCATAATTATTTAGGTAGGAAAAAAACAGACTCTAAAATTTTAAAAAATAAGGGAGCAAAATACATTGTAAGAAATTATATAAAAATTAAACTAGTTTGAGAGTTATTAATTTTTCTTATATATATAAATATACATGCAAATTATCAATATATTTTACATAGTAGATTATTTTTGTATTATCTACAAGTATTTTTTTATTGAAGGTAATCATGTTTAAGGTACTATGGACACTAAATATGAGCACCTCTTTTAGGAGAGATTCAAACCTTTGTTCACTGTGCTGTAAGGGACTAATCCCTTTTCTAAACCCAACCATCATTAGTACTTTATACACTAGATTATTTTGAGAGTTAATTTACATTTTAAACTTAAATGATTCACATAATAATTTAAGAAAACATAAAGGATGGAATTAATAAAAATTATATAAATTTTTAGGAATTAAATTGATAATTAAGACAAATTCAAGAAA